CTGACTGATTATTTTTTTTAAAAGGTGGTCTGCCTCGTGACTGCTGTGGTAGCCGCTAGTGACCATTGCTCTGCAGGACTGTGGGAACATAATACAAAGAAGCTGTCCAGCTCATTTACATCACCTATTTAACCATCAGTTTAGTTGTGTAATCAAAAATAGAATATGTATTTTTGCACATACCAGCAAGCCAAATGTAGGTATCTCTAAATAAGCCAATGCTTTGTGTTGGTAATCCAGTGTCATGAATGCATGGATGGCTTTTAGAAGGGAATTCAGTTGCCTATTTGAGAGGTTCTAAATTTCCATCAGGGCAGTTGGTTAAAAAAAATGAAAAAAAAAAACAATTCTGTGATGGCCTGGCCATAAAACTTACTTCCAGGCTGATTTTTTTTTTTTTTTTTTAAACATTGATTAATTTACTGCAGTCCTTTCAATCCATTTTTGGTGACAAGTTTGAGACCAGAAGAGTTGTCACAAATGAAAAGGAATGATTTATTGTATTCCAAGCACTGCTGTCACATGCTAAATATGTCATATACATGAAGATAATCTGAAAAGACTAGTTCTTGACCCTCAAAGCATAATCACTTCTCTCCAAGCCCCTTGCAAATTAAGAAAATGATTTTTTTTCTACCCAAGGTGAGGACGTATTTTCTCACTATATGAGCTGCATATGGAAATCTCTATATACATGAAAAGCCACAAGTAATGTATAGCATCTTTCAGTGGGGCAAGAGAGCTGCACATAGTTTACAGATGGATGGTGAAAATGATTGTCAGGACAAGGTATGTGCTGCTGCTTCCTGATTTGAATGGATGCAGCAGCAGCAGCTCCTCCTGCAGCTGGGACTCAGAATGGTGTTCAAGAATGTGAAAAGGCATGGACTTCAGTGATATTAATCATGTGGTTTAGGTTAGTCACAAGTACGATTACCTTGCTAAATTGAAGCACACTTATAAGGATATAATAATTAGTGCAAGAAATGGACAGACTTTGTTAGAAGCATGTGAAAAGCATGGGCTCCACTTGCTTGTTTCCTTTTGGTCTCCATGTGCAGAGAAATGGCCTTACTTCCTATGCTATAAAGCATCCACATTTGCAGGCCAAGGAAAAGGATTTGCTGAAATGGAATAATGAACTAAAAATAATCTTAAGAAATGGGAAAGAGCAGGGGTTTGTTTTTACCCATTAACTAAAAGTCATCCACATGGATTTAACTAAGATGTGCTTGATATAATCATATGTGGTCCTTTCCAGTTCTTTTCCTCCTTCATCGCTTTGTGTATCGATTACAGCCATGAAGTGATGAAGAAGCACATCTAGCAGCAAGATCTGGAAGTCTGGCAATGTTTTTCCTATTTGTCTGTGTTTTCCCAATTTCTTCCAGTAGCATTCCCTTAAAATATCAGATGATGCCCAAAATGTCGATTCATTCTCAGCATGAGATTCATCTCTTCTAAAGCCACAAACTGTGTTCATGCTCAGCATTGGTTGTGTCAGTCTACAGAAACTGGATGAGGCTCCTGTACACAGTGAGTTACAGGTATCTGTGTAACCTCTTAGATCAAGTAGTCAGGTTAAAAGAAGGTCAGGTAAAATAGGTAAAAAGTCCCACCCAGTTTAAACTTCTCTGCTCAGGATGGTTATGATGGGGCTCAGGTTGGATGGGGTGCTGAGCAACCTTATCTAGTTGAAGATGTCTGTGCTCATTGCAGGAGGGTTGGACTAGATGACCTTTAAAGATCCCTTCCAACCCAAACCATTCAATGATTCTGTGATTCTGTTATTCTGTTTCTATTCATAGGGAGATGCAGATAGTCCCAGGGCACTATTTTTCTCATCCTAAGATTGACATCTAAAATAAGCTGAAGAAATCCAACCCAAGCTACGTCACTCCTTTGCTCTGGCGCCTTTTAGTGCATAGTGTCATGTGGCAAGCTGTGATGTCACCATGCTGTTTTCTTCTCTGGAGAAGACATGGTCTCACTGCTTAAGACTGAGAGGTCTCTATAAGCATGTGGGGTTTATGAAGCTATATGGAAGTTCAGTGGAAAATGCTGCTCTTGATACCTCTAAATTTGGAGGGTCTGTAATGGATCCCTGCCTGGTAGCTGATAACTGCTGTGTGAGACAAAGAACTGGAGTTAAATGGTTCTGCATTTCCTTTCCTGTCATGTGGGGTAGCATTGCACACATGCAAGATTTCATTGCTGTACTGTGTAAATGGTGATTTGACTCCTTGTGGCTGGGACCAGCTTTGGTTAAGTTAGTGCAGCATGTATCTATTCACCTTCCCTGTCAAACTATATCCTTAAAATATGTTCAGATTCAGTAGCATTAGATGGCCCAGGCTTTCTATCTGTAACAATGAAATATTGATAAATTGCTGTGCTATGATTGCTTTCAAGTATAAGGGAAGATTTCAGTAAATCAAGCAGTGACTTTCGATTAAATGCAATCTCTGGAATCACAATTTAGGTCTCAACTGCTGAGTTTCTCAATGCACAGGAAAAGATTGATGTTGCTTTGTTGTACCAGATATAAATAACTTGGAGCTCTTTTTGCATGTGAGGAAAAATAGATTTCCTTGAAATTTTGGTTGCGGCTCATCTGCTAGACTTCTGCTGAGTGTAAAATGAATCTTGGTCTTGTTCTAAATTGTATCTGAATTGAGATGTAGCATGTGTGCTTCAACTAAATGAAACCTCTTTAAATGATGCATATCAAGTGAGCAGTGATTTGGTCAAGGCACCTTGGTGACTGCTTCTCCAACGGCAGGCGGTCAGCAAATGCTTTATGAAAATAAAACTTCCATAAGTTGGGAACCGGAAAAATCATAAGTGCCTTTTTGAATATTTAGCTTCAGAGGTACTCATGGAGGCTGAAACTAATTTTCAGCTGTCAAATAGACATGCTGTGTGCATCTGGCAGGGTGAATGGCCAAGGGCTGCCATTTCTAATGTGCTTTTCAACCTCAAGAGTGGCTTGCAAGATGTTTACAAAGTTTTATGAAGTAGGTAATGTTATCCTGTTTGGTAAATGGGAGAAGTAACACTTGAAGTTATAAAATGAGTGGAACAAAGTCATGGGGGGAGTTGTGTGATTGTTAGATTGATATAAAATGAATATATGGAGGTGAATAGCTTTTTAAAGGTCTGAAAATGTCCAGTAGGCTCTAAAAAGTTCTGTAAAGAGTAATGCTCACCAAAAACAGGGGAGACAATACAGTGCTTAGACATCATAGAGGTCTTGATTTTTAGAAGTTGACATTTGTGCGTCACAGACTGTGGGTTCTGTACTGCATTGATTGAATTTATAGGACTATGTGGCAAGGTGGAACCTAGACTTTGGTGTCCTCCTTGTGTCACAGCTCCCTTTTACTGGGCAGAGGAGGAAGGAAAGAGCATGTTTGAGAAAGATCATCTCTATGGGATTAGCTGCTGGTTCAGTCACTTACCTAGATGAACGGTAAAAACTGACCTTGGAGGATATAAATAGGCTGAGAAAGGATTTTTCTGTGTAATACGATATTCTGTGCACCTCTTCTTTTGCGATCTTTGTAATTAGACATGGTGAATCAAATAGCTTTAAGTTCATTGAAAGTTATATGAAGCCTTAGCTTCCTTGAGCAAGAGAGTGTTGCCTCGATCCATGCAGTTTCTGGGATCTTGAATACAGTCCTTACTTTAGAATGAACTTCTGTGGTTTTGTTTGGCTTGGAGTTATTTGCATTTGTAGTGTTCTGGAATGGATCATGTTGCAATGAAGACTGTTGCCCTCTGAGATGTCTGCCAAATTTGTTGCAACATTTGGCACCTTACACATAGGTTTTGTCTCTATTTTTGTATTCTTTCAAATGTAAAATAGCTATGATTGTCATACTAAATTGTTCCAAGTCATGGCAAGGTTAGTGGCTGCTCTGGGTATACGTGTATTCTGAAAGTTCAGGTAAGATGGTCACCAGTTGAAGTAGCAGCTGCAAAAAAAGCAGTGGGTGAACTCAACTGACGATGAACACACATTTATATTTACCAAAATGGCCTGTCATCTTGACTTTCTGACTCGGAAGAGGACTCTCTTGTGCTGCGCATGTGTTGACTGACCTCTTACACGGACACCTTACATAAATTTGGAAGTTCATGCAAGATCACCCTGCACACTCTGCCATACTCCAGCATTGCACTCTTTTCTGTTGTTTGCTGGTTCTTAATCCAGTCCTTCAAGCTCTTACTCATAAAATGTGGTGTCAGTGGAAGATTTTTCATCTGACAGCACTGATAATTCGGGGACCTGGGTCTTCTCTGCTGCCTTGTGCCTCTATACAGCCTCCATGTGAAATGAAGCATCTTGATGTGATCTGCATCTAGCAGAAGAAGAAAAAGCAACTTCTCTGAAGATGTGGAGATTCTGATATAGTGCATGTAAAGGCTTAAAACTTCAGTGGTTTAGCAGAAGTCCTTATCAAAAAGATCTATTAGTGACCATGGCTACATTCCATACAAGAGTCTCAAGGACCATTCTGGAAAGAGAAAACTCCCCTCTGGAGAGGATCTCAGCACTGACTGTGCGGTAGTGGTTCCTCAGCCCTCCTTTCTGCCCTAAGGGAGAATGGTGACCTCTTCTTTTGCCTGACTCAGTGTCAGTGCTCAGGAAGGGGCCCACGTGAGTACAAATTCCTTTGACTGTTCAGACGCTATGAATGGAGCTGTGGGGCTAAGGATATACTGCATCATAGGGCTCTCATTTCTTAAAGGCAAGTTTTCATACAGCACGATTTCTTTTTTTTTTTTTTTTTTTTGTACGGGGGGAGAGAGTTAAGTATTTATTTACTTACTTATTTACTTTATTCTGACCAGAGCTGAAACCTTGATTTTTTGCAGTGTGCTTCCTTTCTCCTGCTGAATCGTTTGTATGCATTTCACTGACAGAGCGTTTGAAAGCCCAGCTTTCCTCCAGGGAGTTTACAGCCAAACTGATGCAAACTCTTTCTTCTCAGGTGCCTCACGATCGTCTGTCATCCAATGCAAGCCAGGAGGCAACTGCCCCAGCAGACACAGAGGCATGACTAGGCAGCTCTCCCCTCTATCTGTTGCTGAAGATTCTGCTGCTCCCATTCTTGAGCTGCAGAATCGAAGTCCCTCGGGAATCTGTCGGCACAGCAGAGTCAGGAGGCAGAGCAGATCAGGTAGGCATAACAGCTGCATTCTTGGCGTCACATCATGCCTGCAAAAGGCCTCTTTCGTCTGTCTTTTGAAAGATGGTGCAGAGTCTGAGCATGTTGACGTTGATTTACGGTGCTGTGAGCAGCAAAGCCACATGAAAGCCCTTCCTGTATCTGTGGGCAAACTGGGGTTAGACAGGAAGGAAACAAAGGTGGGAGGAAAAGGCCTGAGCCTCAGTAGGTACATGTATTATGTTAGATATCTCAGAAATCGTAAGACCACTAAGCACAGAAGATCTTGAAAGGATAATTAACGCACACACACAAATTAGCTTTTTTAAAGTGGTTATGTTTCCTCAGCTTCAGCCTGGCTAGAGACCAGGACCCTTAAAAACCAGCCATGTTCCTTCTCGAAGATAATGGCAGTCTCAGCTCACACCATGGACAGTCTGGTGAAGAGGAAGAGAAGGAGCAACAGGTGGAAGGATATCTAGGGAAGACCATCACAGTTCAGATCATCGATCAGCTGCACATCAGGGCTTCCATCAGGAATATGTTACCCACTTTACTACAGAAGTTTAGCTCAACTGACCCTAGAGATTTGGTGTACACTGACCTCTCCATGGTATCTACCCATTACCAGCAGGGATGGGATAGAAGCAGTTAAAATATGCAGACACAGGCTTTTGAGTCTGCAGAATTGTACTGTTGAGAAGGAAACAGACATTAAATGACTGAAATAATTTAACTATACAAGTTCTTTGGAAGACTGCCCGTGTAGATACTGTGAGCAAAAAGGGGAGGAAGAACAGGCTGGATCTCCCTTGCACACTGGAATTGTAGGAGATGAACCTTCCTCTTGTCATTTCATCACCGATGGCAGCAAGAGCCAGCCATTTTCTTCTTGTGTTGGAAAATGGAGGGATCTCATACTTCAGGAATACTCTTTTGATGGAAACCCTCAGAAAAATATTGGAAGTGATTGTTGCTGCAAGGAGTGAAAGATGCAGCATCTTGCAGTAAAGATGATATCTAAGATACCGGAAAACCAATCTATTATATCTTTTGCAGATATCAGCCTGAAATAACTCTCTGCATGCTGGCACTAGGGGTACATCCAAAATCAGAATCTGTCTAAGAAGGGACTTTAGGCCACTTGACAAAAGAGTAGTGCTTTGACATCATACTCTTCTAAACTTTTCTTTTTCATTTATTAATTTCTCTTTTTATCCTTATCTTCCCTTCCTGATCAGGGAGGTCTAGATAGGGCTGACCTGACAGGTAGGTAAACTAATACAAAAAATACTATTTTCCAAGATGTGGTTGGCAAATAGTGAAAAGTGTTCAGAAGATAAACTGTAGGATTTGGTTTTCCTCATCTCACTCTCCTGAAAAATGAAAGCGAAAAGCTTTTCTGTTACCATCCTGTCACAGAGACATCACAAGCAATAATTATAGGTAAATGGATCATGTAGGGATATTTCTGTTAGCTGCCTTTCAACACAGTTTGTCATTGACCACTGTCATCTCAGTCTGTTACCTGCAATATCATTTGCATTCTTTCCCTGTCGTTTCATCTGTGTTGAGTTCTCAGATTGTTTCTGTGCTCTTGACAGCATAAGTCTGTTGGTTTGTTTCAGACCAAACTAAATGCAGATGCCAGGGATTTTTTCTACCTTGCTAAATGTAAGAAGCTGTCTGCCACCACTTTGGCTGATCAGTTTCTTTTTCCTTATTAACATATCATTCAGTATCTGAACACAAGTGCTACTTTCTAGCTTACTCCAGCCCCAGCTTCATGACTTGGAAATCATGAAACCTATTTAGTATGAATTATGTGCCTGCTTGCTGCGTGTCTTTGAGTTCAAGCCCTGTAATTGTTTTTAAAGACATTTGTTATATTGCCCTCTTGATTCTTTGGCCAGAATTTAGGTGTGCACATCCCTTGGATTTTGAAAGCAACTGTCAAGCCTCTATGTCATTATGGCTGCGGTTCTATCTGAATTTCACTTAAATTAAATATAAGTATCTAGTATAGGAAGAGAAAATTGTCTCCAGTGGGCTTAGATATACATGAGAATGAAATCAGCTACCTTCTTACCATACTATACTTGCATTATCGTTAAATATAAAGGGCCCCTAGACAATATATTTGGCCTGAACACACAACTGTTTGCTAACTACATTACGTGGGATGATTCCTACCCATTCATTAAGCACTTAAGAAAACTCTCCACTATGTTTAATCAGGCTAAAACTTACATAGGTCTTTAAATCCAAGGTAGGACTTGCTGAACTGTATGTTCCTGTGCCTTTCCCTAACATTCAAATTTGGGACTCTTAAATCCAAGGGAAATGCTAAAGGTGGTGTCATGCATAGTAAGAGCAATTACATAGTTATTTGGTAGTTGGAAAATGAAAACATTGATACGTGTGCTTTAGTCTTTCATTGTTGTATGATTATTTTAGCTGTTAGCTGAAGAAGGACTAATTACGTGGTAGTTTTGCTTAGCAGGAAAACCTGCAAGTGGATGTTACATAATATATTTTTTCAAGCCATTCTAACTTGCAAATAAACTGTAATTTACCTTATAATAGAGTATGTCAGTCATTGGTAGTACCATAAAAATACCTGTTTCTTTCTCAGGAGCCAAAGACAATGCTAAAGTGATGCTTGCCTTTTCAGACCAGTGTCTGCATGTTTTTAATAAACCTGTAATTTTGTTTCAATTCTTGATTCACCACTAAACAATGGTGACACAGAATGCTGATTATTTTTAAGAAAAAAAAACACCATACAATTGCAATTACAAAAAGCTCCATGTCCTGGTTAGGAAAATTCTTGATTGCAAATATGCTCCCTGTGATGATGAATTGGTTTTTAGATGGTGTAGTGTAATAACTTTGAACCTTAGCCATTTCTTTATAGCTGTAGCAAGAACAGTAATACAAAAGGGAAGTAAACCTCAGTCTGAAAGGCTATGATTTTCACATTTAAGTTGAATGTAGTATGGCATATGCTCTCACTGCAGTGGATATATAGCTCCTCTTAACAATTGTATTGTTTCTTATATATATCACATCACGTGTTGATGTGACTAATGATTGACAGTAATAATTAAGAATAGCTGCAGGTTGTGATTTTTAAAAGGAGCTTCTGTTTATTCTATCAACTTATGTGATATGGAACTAGATGGTCTTTAACATCCCTTCCAACCCAACCCATTCTATGATTATGGTATGCTTTAGTGGAATACATAGTTGGATCTCAGTGCTGCCACATGAGCTCATGGAGTAACAGTGTTAGTGGTCCTCAGTATCCAATGCAGTTCAACTCAATTGTTTTCAGCTGGGATCTGTGAAATCAGAATAGGGTTCACGGGTTGCATCTCTGGAAGATGTAGCTGGAGAGCAAGCCACCAGTTGGTAAGATTAAATTCTCTACATTTCTGTTAGGAAATCAGCTGGTCTGCAGATTAGGTATGAAAAGTCCTGCACTAAAATAGGAAATGACAACTTCCAATTCCTCCTTGTTTATGTGTAGAGATTTATTTATAGGCATGCTAAGCTTCAGTCTTGACCAATTTCCTTTTTTAACTTTGAAAATGTAAATGTATCAACTTTCTCCGCTTGGGCATATAAAACCAACAGACTGTTTCTTCTCCCATCACAACTTGGAAATAAAAAAGCAATCCTTGAGTTAAAGTCTTGAATAATAATAACTGGCTCCTGACTTCAGATGTACAGGCTCAGTTCTTAAGTTGCACACATGCACAGTAATTGACTTTATAATGTTGGCTCCAAGGTTTATAGCTCTATTCTAGAAGTTCGGCTGACAGAAGGAATGAAGGGCTGATAAAATAAATAGTGGCATAGCTTAACCATAACACCGTTACCTCAGGCCTCGGTATAGTGTTTGTATTTTGTTCCTATCCCCTTGAAGTGACAGAAACAGTATTACTGTCTCTGTGCAGGATTCCAGTGTTCGTGGGACATAGGGGACTTACAGAGAGAAGGCAAAGGATGGTTTGTGTCTGGTGTCTAGATCAGAGGGGAGATTCTGCTAAGAATTGTTTTGAATGTATTCATAATGTGCACAACTCTTTTCTTCTTCTATTCTTTTCTCTTCAGGAGAAGAAGGAACACAAACACACACAGAGAGCAGCAGCCAAGAAGCTGAAGGACAGACACGATGCCAGTCTTGCACATCCACATTCCTCAAGCTTATCTGGAGATTTCTGATCATTTTGTCCGTCTCTTCTTCCTGGGTCGGGACCACGCAGTTTGTCAAAATCACGTATGAGACCTTTGACTGTCCTTTTTTCATGACTTGGTTCTCAACAAATTGGAACATTATGGTTTTTCCCATTTATTATTCTGGGCACCTTGCAACTGCACAGGAAAAGCAGTCTCCAATCAGAAAATTCAGGTAGGCTTTATTGTGGCAATATCCCTTTGATCAGCCTGATCTCTGTGGACTGAGGTCACTGCTCTTCTCAGTTTGACCCATGGTGTCAGAAGGCAGAATAAAGGCAGAAAATCTCATTCATAAATAGCTTACAAAAAGCTAAAAGATGACTCATATATGCTTGAATAAATGGATCATTAATTGTTAGAGGGGGTTTTTACTGAGTTGAAAAGGTCAGTAATTTGCTTATAATCTTGCTATTATACTATTTAATATCTCTGTATTTTGTGCTTGTCTGGATCAGACAATTAACCTGTTCTGGTCTATTTATGATAGAACAATAGTGTAAAGGGGAACCAAAACGACTCGTAGTTGAGAAGAAAGATGCTCAAAAAGCTGAAGAGATGGCTTCCATGCAGGAGCCCATGGCTTGCTCTCTATGTTCGGTCAGTATAGCAGGCTGAAAACTTCCCTTTCCTCCTCCTGCTGCATAGCACAGAGGAAGAGGATCCTAGTAGACTTCTCTGCTCTCATTTTTGAGTGATAGGAATTAAAGCAGGTTGCAGACTATTGGTTTTCCTCCCCCTGTAGCTCTGAGGAGTAAGTTGGCATAGCAGCCTAGTGGCTGCCATCCTTAGGAAATGGTGTGAAGGCTTTGTCCTTTCTTCCATCCTGCTCCATGTGGAAATACCTCTTCCTCTGTGTACCAAAAGCCAGGGGAAGACATCCCTCTGACTCCAGCCTCCCCTAATGCTACATGGCAGTATGTTGTAATTGAACTTTCAACTTCAGGTGCAAAGAAGCCCATAGTACCAACTATAACATTGTTCTGCGGGGCTGGAAATTTGTAAGTCCCTCTTCAATAGGCACTGTGGAATCACAGAAATACAAGGTTAGAGAGGAATCCAAACAGTTCATCAGGTCCAGCCACCAGCACCAGCAGGACCAAGCTGGCTTAGCTTCACCCTAGCCAGTTCTTAAGAAAGCTGTACCTAACCTGTCCTCAGGGCTTGAAAGTACCACCATGGTATGGGACAATTCATTTCCCAGTTCCTCCTCGACTTCCATTATTCTACCAATATGACAGTGCCGTAGAAGCTGCTTTAAAAGATGGAACTAAATTCACCTTGCCAAGACATAACACACCTTGCCCATGGAGGGATAAAATTCACAGGATGATTTTGAGCTGATACCAAATTCTGTTACTCCAGTGCAGACTTGCTTTGAAAATAATCTTACTGACTTCAGCAGAATTGTCTGTTCTGCAAGGTATTAACCAGCGTGTGGCACATACCTTGTTCCTGCTGACAGAGTTCAGCACAGTTGTCATTGAGCGCACAGCGAATTCAATTTGTGACTGTCAGGCTGGAGTGTAGCAGGACCAAGTTCTTCTCTCAGCTGCTTTTGCCAGGATCTGGGATGTAATATGGTCCTAAATTCTTATATCTGTCAATTCAGCATGACTGAAATTGAATAGTTGCACTTAATTAACTGCTTCTCTGAAAACCCTAGTGTACGTTAATGATGCCTTCATTCAGATTCCTGCTGGAGTATTTGTGAGAACATTAACAGTGTCAGCTTGGCTTCTGGGTATGGGGTAAAGTAATAGCAAAAGCACAGCAGATAAGGAAGAAGGTGAGAATAAATATCCTTGCAGATCGATTTCATTGCAGTTAGTTGGTTGATTATATATCCATCAAAGCAAAATTTGGGGCAAAACATTTGTGGCAATGCATAATATAAGTATGCTTAAATAATTAACAGATTTCCCAAGCTGTTAGGAGTTCAGCTTTTAAAGTTGAGGACACATGCTTACATGCCCAGAAGAATTTCTGCACACAGAGAGACGTGAAGTAGGTTTGTGAATGCATGGAAACAGGAGACCAGTGTTAGAGCTGATGGGCATCTTCCCAGATTTCCTATTCCAGATATGTAGGGAACTCACATGCTAGGGATGAGGTAACTGCTGACAAATACTGAGTTTATTATCGGCATCAACTACTTTGTGCCGTGTTATGACTTGACAAGACAAACTCTTTCAGTTTAGGTATGGGAAAGGGCACATCTTCAGGGTGAGCACTTGATTTTCTGGTGACTTAAAGAAATTAAAAGCATCATTTGTAGTTTTTACATTTAGAGAGTTGTAGGCAGATTTAGTTCAAAAAGGGTGTTGGAGGTTATTTAACCCAACCTTCGACCAAGGACAGAGTTATTTTCAAAGCTGGATGAGTTATATAATTGCTTGGTTTGTGTTCTTGATATAGTTCCTGTTACAAAGCATTTTATTGCATTTTGTACGATTTCTTGTTGCTTCATTTGCTAGTTTTATTTCTGTGGAGTAGCTAATTCTTGGTGAATAAAGCCCATCTTGTAGTGATTCCAAGCCTGCCTCAGAGTATAGAGGTGATTTCTCTTTGTGTTTCTGGAGGATGTAGTTACTCAGTCGGAGTTTTAAAGACACATGATATTTTGTCCAGCAGATGTTCCTGGTGGATCAGAACAAACACTGTCTGTGATATCCTGGCTGAAATCAGCGATCATGCAAGTGACTTGCAGAGTGCTGCCCCAGGCTAGCAAAGCTGTAGAGAGCCACTGTTACTTTAATAAATTCCACTTGGAAAGATAGAAGTCTCAGTCTTCAACTCTAGATTTGCTTCCTGAAAGATTTATAATCTTTGAGATTGTAAATTGTGTATTTCTTACTTTTTACACTTTATCTTGGAGGTCACATTTTGTGATCTTAGAAACTAACTCATGGTTATTACCTCCATGCTGCATTTCAGTAAAGTATCTTGGTAATCTTGAGGCAGAAGAAGCAGCTCTTGGTATCCCCTCAGTATTGTGGATAAGAGGCATGTCCCACATAAGAAGCTTGAAACTCCTTGCATTAGTTCTGAATAAAACAATCTGAAGCTCAGTAAGCTCAGCACTAGGAAATCTAACCCTGCCAGTATTTACCACAGCAGAAGACTCTGCAGACTTGACATAGGATCCTAATTTAGTTATAATTTGGAGTAGGTGGATAATATTTTCAATGTCAGTGAATTTTGCCTCCTCATCCGCTGTCTTGGCTTCTCAAGGACAAACACTGTGACATGCAGCAGCTTTCTGTCAGAATATATGCACAACGTAATAGCTGAGGTTAGTCCTACAGGCGCTATGCAGCCTTGAGGCACTGGCACTGAGTGTTGGTAGGTGTATGTTTAATAAATATGAACATGTTGGGAAGAGTCAGTTTTCTAGTAAAAACAGAGCTCTAAGTAGCTGATACGTGCTGTCATCTGTCATCTACAAGTTTTTCACCTACAAATCTCTCCATGTTGCTTCAGTAGCTCAGTCCGGCTTCCTCAGCCACTTACAGAATACACTGCAAATCTAGATCTTCCCTGTGAAAGGCTTTTCAGAGGAGAGATGAGGATTTCTGTTGCCTGAAGCTGCTCCAACCCCAAATGGCTCAACAGTATGGTGCCCAAAATGAGGGCTTCCCTCAAACTATTCCTGTTGGGATACAGCATTCCTATGGTGCTGCCCCCTGAGCCAGACACTGCTTATGTGAGAGGTTCATGCACAATTCCCTATCCTTTTGCTCCAGCCCTGGAGCAGACAAATACAGATGTCCAGGCTCCTTCCTAGTGTTCAGACTTGGTCAGTCCTGGAAAACAATTCACCAGTTGCTTAACCACCATTACTCTATCTGTCTCCTCAAATGGAGCTGGAAGGTATTTTATTGCAGTAGATGCCATCATTTAGATAGAAGGACCAAACTGCATATTAACAACTTGTGCTCGGAAAAAAGATCCTGTGGTGCTTCTTGCTACCATAGTGTCACTGGTGGCCTTGCCAAGTTTTAATCTGGGTGATGTAATTACATCCTCTGTATTCGCATTACCCCAGGTAGCATCTGTAAGCGCTGTGTTTTCTGTAAGCTGTTTTAAAAACAGTGCCTGGATTACACTCCAAAGGTGTCTGTGTGTCAGGGGTGAATAAACGCATTCTTCTGCATGGGCTGCCATTGGAATAACTAAGATGCAACACAAGCCATTTAATGGGTGCCAGAGGCAAAGCTACATGACTGCCTGAGGTGCTGCAATTCCTGAGAGCATGGCACACTGCCCAGAGCTGACGGCTGAGAGCTACCTGCAAATAAAAAGAGCTATTTATGTTAGAGGGCAGGTTTTAAATAGACTTCTTGTGCATTTAGAAATAGTTTGTGTCATAGTTTCAGGGTCAGCTGCACTTAGACATGTCTCTGCCTTTAAGTCAACAGCCTGCAGGGGAGATATCCATGGATCCCTCTTTCCTGACCCCAGAGTTTTAATCACTGTCACATCTGATGACTCCTGCAAGTTTAATTTTAGTTGCATGCCAAAGAGGCTGAGTTAACCACTGAGCAACCAGCCCTCACAAAGCCTGAGGCAATCTACTGTAGTCCATGACTGGGAAAATACAGTATTCTTCCTATCTCTTCATTCACTGAACATTATTCATGGAGTTCTCCTAGGCACAGAGGTGAATTTGTCAAGTCTCTGTCTTGCTCAGCATGACCCTGTCACAGGTATTTGCTGTATTCTTTTAATTGAGAAGTGAGGAAACACTAACCGATTTTGTCTGATCATTGTATACTGCTGTGTGTGATGGTGTTTCTTCCATCTGCTTAAACAGTCTGGGACCTGTGAAGCATTTCTGGATTTCTTTTCCTAGCTGTGAATCTCTGCTCATCCCTGCCACTGCTTCTGGGAACTCAGATAAGTGACCTTTGAAGGGCTGCCACAACTGCCTCCCCCAAATAGTTGACCAACCCACAGAGTCCAACCTAGAATAATATAATAATCACCGAGTCTTCCTTATTCTGAGGACTCACAGTCAGGGCACTTTGGAGTCCATCCTCCTAATTCTGCTCTGAGATTGTCTGTGTGCAGACATCCCAGAGATATGCAGGACAACAGAACCTAACCCATTCTGGCATCCCCCTCACCCTTTTTGGCTTTGGAAGCCACCTGCCTTCCCCGTGGATGAAGGAGTAGAAGCATCAGGTTTATTGATTTATTCCCATCACCTCTCTGGCAGTGGGGGCCATGATGGATGACTGTGGTTTAATTTCACATAGCACATTTATTGAAGGACTTTTCTTGTGGCCTTGGAGACTCCACCAGAGTGGTGTGCTTGGATAATTTTGCTGTTGCCTTTGTATGCTGTCAGCACGTCACTAGGGTATTTAACTGTTCCCTGCGTTACTGTAAGCAGCCTAAGCATCCTTCTGTCTTGTTTTAACACAACACAAGCTTGTTTCCTCCGAGACAGATCCTGAGAACTTCTGAGACAGGTTGGATTTACACCCATGTAATGATCAAATAATGCATCAGAATTGCTGGCAATGTTCCCACTGCAGGAGAGAGCAGGCTTCGTACAGGTCTGAGGTTCACGATACAGACCTGTTATTGCCAGGAGACCGGGCCTGCTGGCTCTGTTGTCATGTAACGGTGACATAACCATGGTGCACCCAGGTCAGAGGCCACCTGTCTTGAAGTGAGATATAGTCTGAGCTTAGAATCACACTCTGCATCCAGCTAAATTTCAAGGGCAGAAAATCATCTTTTAAGTGTAAACTGCTGTATCTGCATGTCAACAAACATTCAAGTCTGTGCTACCAGTGAGTCCGTTCTCACACAGGGAAACTCATCCCTTTTAACTCCTGTTGCAATCAGTGATACAAAAGCCTACAGTCAAGCTTAAGCATTTATTTGCTTCACTATGTGCTTTGTATCTCAGATAGATGATACACACCACTAGCTGTTCTCTTCCTATGTGTAACATTTCTTTTCTGGTCTTTGGAGAACAGGATGACTTCTGAGAACGTCAAGGGCAACTAGAGTGAATGAGAAAATTAACAGATCTGCCTGCCTGAGTGTTATCTTGTTCGACACCCTGGCACAGAGTTTGAGGAAGGAATTTATTATTACCAGAAATGACTACTTTGTACCCAGGTCATTTCAGTGGCAATAGGGAATGAATAGTTACTAAGAAGAATCGCAAATTCATTTAGGTTAAGGCATAGCTGATCTCATATTATGCATAGATGTTATTCCACTTTTCTCAAAATGAAAGTGCTGGTGTCCAATCTGAATATGTAAAAAAATGCAATACTTTTAACAGCAGGATTCCCCAGAGTTACTAAAAATGATTTAGGAGTCCTGAAAATTATTGTCTTTAAAGGCAAAGCCAAATCAAGATAATTATCACACAGCCACCTCCCACATGCCTAAAAGTAAAAAATGTTTTCAACTTCACATTGCAGTGTAATCTCTTGTTACTAATTAGTTCTGCATATTAGCAGTCTTCCAATGCAACCATATTTGGCTGTGAGTACTTTTTGGCCCCGAGGCATGCCATTTAGATTAGTCACTTAATGTTACCTCTTAAGGATGTATTGCAGATCGATGGTACCTTATTTCACTCCACTGGTGTTCCAGTTGTATAAAGGATTCACTTGCGGGACCTCTCATGTTTTAAATAGACATGTCAGAGAGCCTACCATGTCAAGAAAGGAAGTGTACTGGGAATATCTTGAAGAATATTTTGAGGGATAACTTAAACCAAGAATGCAGACAGTGGAGTTGCTAAAAAAGTCCTTCCCAATTTGGGAAAGGTAGAGATGTTTCAGAAGGGGTGTAGTAATGTGCCTTTAATCAAGCTGCATGCTTGAGTACTTGGTCTCCCCTTAGTCCACACAGTACCGCTTTGCCCAGGCGTGCTGTCCTAGAAAGCAGTGTCTTCTGAGCTGACCCTTCCCTTTTGTGAAATCCTGAGAAGCAGACAGCTCACTGGAGTTGTGTGTGACAATGGGAAGCTAAAAATTTTGTTTGCAATTTAATCCACAAGGAAATGTCTCTAAGCATACATATCTTTGCACTGTGTAATAAAACAAAGCTGTTAAGTACCCTTCCCTCCCCTTATTTTTCTTACACTCTTGTTCAGCTGGCTCAGTTCTGCTGGCTGGTGACTGACTTTCCTACCATGGTGATGTGTCTGGCAGCATTTTTGAGGATCTTTAGAAATTCTTAAAATTTACTTTGCCATGCGTATGAATATATTTCAGTACGGATAAAATCAAGTTTTGGAGCAAAGCAAGAAAAAATTGTCAAGCTACAGAGAAAAAAATATGGTTATAATCCCTCTGTTCATGGCCTCGAAGGCAGAGTCTGAGAACTGCCAGTGCATTGTAGATAACCTTCATCTCTGTGTGTGAATCCCTGGGATTATTGTTGCATAGAGTGTGATTATTCCAGGTAAGTTACTTCTTTTCTATTTGTGAAATTACGTTTTAAGAAGATTGTAGGTTATTTTCTCTGTGTGAATTAAACAACAGATTCTTACGGGTTTACGAAGTAATTACGAAAAGCACTTAATTGAATGTAATAAAAGTCTAATGAATCTTTGCTGTGCTGGTGTGAATGCTAAGGCAAATCCTAACTGAGTTTTAAACTCCTTTCTTTTCATAGGGAATGCAGTCGGATTTTTGGTGAAGATGGTCTGACGCTGAAACTCTTTCTTAAAAGGACTGCTCCCTTTTCTATTCTGTGGACTCTGACAAACTACCTGTATTTACTGGCTTTAAAGAAGCTGACAGCCACAGATGTCTCTGCCCTATTCTGTTGTAACAAAGCTTTTGTCTTCTTGCTTTCTTGGATCGTGCTGAAAGACAGGTTCATGGGAGCAAGGGTAATGACATGCCTGCTTTTCAACTCTCTCCTGTTTTTGTAATTTCATTAAATCCATAAGCTATTGTGCTGCCACAGTGCTGCTGCATTATGGTATATGTATATATACCATGGAACCATTTTTCGTTTAATTTTATGATGCAAACCTCAGCCTGAAGATCAGTTAGAGATCTCAGGTTCCAGAAGTAATTCAATGAGGGAATTTCAAGAAGCTATTACAGCTAAGTGTAATTTGACAAATTGGAATAGGAGGACTTCTAGTTTTGTATTAAACCTATTCTGTCTTGGGTTACAGTGCTGAAGTACAGTCAATTAATTCTACTTAAAGCTTAGCGATAAATGCTTAAGTTCTCACCAAAGCAGTTTTATTCCTTGTTTGTGTCGATAGCTATTTCCAATGTGTAATATATTTTTCTTATGCCTCCTATTACTTTTTACACACACATATATATGTGCCAAATTTGGTTTACAAGGAGCAGCAACTATTTTGCATTAAACCAAAGTGTTTTGTGACTCACTGGCAGTAATGTGGACCCTGCAAAAAGAAAGAAAAGAATTCAGACGAAACGATGTGTGCCTGTATCTGGGGGAAAGCAAGCATATTTCCTGCAATTTTACATACACAAATCTCCTAGTATGCATCGATTTAAACTGTTCACTTTATATGTTGGCTAAGGAGTAGCTAGGATTTCTGCAACTTCTGGTAATAGATTCCCCCACTGAAATGGCTGAAGGCCTAATGGTCATGTTGAGTACAATCCTGATTGAACTATAAAGAGACTTGAATTTTATTAGGGACTGGTTGGGGTCAGGTATGATGCATGTGACCACAAAGGGCCATCAGCTGTTGGATTTTCCACGGATGTTTTCATGAAAAGTGTAATGCATCGGGACAGTAATCCAAGTGACTTTGTTTTTTAAAAAATGGGCATAGTAGCTTTTTTCCTATTAATAGTGTAATAGAAGGGTTCAGAAATGAAAGGAAAAGGCATCCTGTTTGATGGGCATATGATCTAGCTCTTGCAGCAGCCGTCAGCACACTGAACAGAGCACTGTGCTGGGGGTTTAGAATGTAAGAGGAAATTGTTTAAAGTAAAACAGTTCCCCTAATTTCCTGGGGAGATGGGCTGGTTGGCACAGTACCTGAGCACTTCAAGACATCTCCCAGGAGAGTTTTGTTGCACTGGCTCAATGGAGAGTCTGCTAGACCAGGGGAAGTTGAGGAGGTGAACCCATGATTCACAGACCTCAGCTGTAGTGCCCTTGAAGGTAAGGACATAGACATTTCATCTTGAAGTGCTAAAGACAGACACTGGTGTAATTATTTCAGTTACAACTTGAAACACAGGAGCATCAGTTGAATGTGACCTACATCAGTGTGCTGATGACTAACACAAAGAATACAGAGGGTTTAAAATCCTCAGTTCTTCTTTACAGAAATTATCAGGAATGGTAATTTCCCTTCTCTGCCCCTTGATCATCTCAGATTTCAGCTGAAAATACCGGAAATTTTGTAGCTTTTAATCTATTTTTTGTCTTAAAGCAACCTCTTTGTAGAACAAGCATTGCTTTTGCGTTTTGCTAGCCTAGTCTCTTAAAGAAGCCTAGGTGAAAAATACTAAAGCTATTTTCAGTTACTAGTTGTTTTTCACTGACTAAAAAAAACCATTGCTATAAATATGTGGTAGTATTAATGCTGTAAACACTGTGAGGTTTGCACAGGAAAAGCCTAGCAGAAAAAGTGAGCAGCAAATTCTGCACATAAACTAGTTTTGCTGCTAACTGGCAGATCCTGGATGCACTTTGCTGGGAGGGTGGTTAGCAGCATTTTCCAGCTTCCTTCCTTCCAGAATAACACTTGATGATGTTAATAACCACACAGAAGTGTTTGAGAACGAAAATCCAACAAAGCAGCACAGACCCAGCCTTTTGTGCTTTGAATGCCTCTACTGCTTTTATACCTCAGCCTCTCAGACAGCAAGTGTAATTAGGTTATTTGGGCAGTGAGGAGGCAAAAAGAAATAAGGGCTTAATGGTATACTCTGAGCCAGTGTTTTCGCTAAAGCACTCAGCACCCAGTAGCACAGCCAGTTTTCAAAGGAGCTGCTCCTAGCAGCTATTTCAGAGCTTCAGAGCCATTGGGGACTCTGCGGCATGTTGAGGTGGGGATACAGCTGGCACCTGTATACCTAAGGCAGCTTTCATCTGCCTGGACTTGAGAACCAGCAGCTGTCAAGGCTCAGCGGCTCTGTGGCAGATTCCCAGAATCGCCAGCTCCCTGTCTGCCTGTTGCTGCTGCAGGTGGTCTGTGAACTGCCCGCAGACACCCATAGGTGCGTAGTAGCCACATGTCCTCTTGTGTGATGGCTCTCTGGTCCCTGTGCTGTGTGCTGGCACACTGCTTCCACACAGCCTGGAAATCAGGCTGGGGGGCTGGATTTTCAGGTAGGCTGTCTAAAGACAAGCCTGTCTTGATGGCCACCTTATGGTATGGCATGGCATAATCTTGCCTGTGGAAGCATTGACTAGCTGCAGAAGGGCTGCTGGGGACTGCATGCAAAGGTTTGTTAGCCCTGGCTGCATCCGGGGTACCTGGAGTGTGTGTTCTGCAGCAAGAGTCACATGCCCTCAGCAGTGATGCTGTAGCGTGAGAAGATGCTTGCACCCAACCCTAGAGAGAAAAACACCAGCTGGAGAAAGAGTATTCATATAAGAAGGACATGTACAGCAATGACTGTATAGCTATTTACCGATGAAGGTAGTGTAGGTGCTTAGGTACCTTGAAGTATCCACTCCCCTGCACAAGGAAACATAGCACAGTCCCTGCCTGCACTATAATCTTCTTTGCTTGGACATTTCTGAACATCTCACAAATGAATAATGTTGCACTGGGGCATGTGGAAGTCCAGGCAGCTTTGGCTCAGAGCAAGCACAAATATTTACAAGACTTCATGTTTTTGAGTAATTCCGTTGACTTGTGTTGCTTAGATTTAGCCACATGCTTAAATGTTTGCATATTTAAGCCCTTGGTTGTGTTTCATTTGGGAAGTTGAATTATTGCTTATTGTTTAGATACAGAGTGTTTTGGAGACTTTTAGCCCCCCAGAAGCTTGAGTCTACTCTGGCGACAGGTTTCTTTCTTTACAACAGCACCTTATTTTCTGCTGTGCTCCACATGGGAAAAAAGTGTTCCTGAGTAAAATGTTGATCGGCCTTGCTCTCTTCTAGGGCCATGGGGAGAGGCAGGCTGATTTCATTCTTTGCCTCAGAGGCTTGAAAAGAAGTTACTACCTTCTTCCATTAATTGAAAGCCTTGTTTAATGAGCTGTCAGCTACAACAACCAGCTTGGTTTCACTGTGACCTTGCTGCTTCTTGTCAGCTTACAGAAGCCTGCAGGATGTGCTCTCAGGTTTCTCAAACAAACATGACAATTGCTAGGCAGGTCAAATGTGCTAATGCAGTGGTGTACAGTTTGCAAGCAAAGCTTTGAAACTTAAATAATGTTCTCGCAGCTTTCTATTGTCAGGTCTTTATCTAATGTCTCATCAGATGGTGCTCCATATGTGTCCATCATTTCAGTTGTTTCAGGAAAAAAAAGTGCCTGGCTTTCCAAATAGTTGATTAAATTAGGAAACTGGCTCTCTAAATTTGGTGTAGCCAGACTGGGAGATGTTTTTCCCAATAGGAAGAATTTCTTATTGGGGATGATGGATCTACTCTGATGGATCTACTAATACAAAGGACTTGCTGGATCTGGGCGATGAGTGCACTTAGAGTTAAATCTCGATCCTTTCCCTCAGAAAGAGGGGATAACTACATTGGACTTTTCTGTTTTGCCTTACAGAAGATATTGCTTGAAATATTACAGCTGACACCTGAAATGCTACGTCTGAATTTATGTGCAAGGCAAGACGTATAGTGCACCCTGAGATGAAACTAGCCAGGCGATGTAGCAGGGCTGTAGCAGGAAACTCATAGGAGGGAACACGCTGATGTCTGAGAGGTCCTGGTGTAATTCTGTGTTACTTCAAGGCTGGGGCTTTTATGGTGTTTGTACCTTAGGATAAGCTGTAAGGAGAACAGCAGTACTGCACAAGTATAGTACTAGTGAATTATTCACCAAACCAAAAGTAGGAGGAAGAAGCTCTGTAGGGACCCTTTCCACTGAATGGGACTGAAATGCATTCTTCTAAGAGAATTTAACTTTGTTTTGCTCACAGATCCTTAGGAAGATGTAAGCTCAGGGATCAGAATAAGGTATGGGTGATGGCATGTGTGTCCTGTGCCAGATGTTCCCTGACTTTTCAGCAGGGAGAACAACAGAGGGTGATGTCTTCCAGCCCTCCAGCTCATACAAGAAATGGAGGCCAGATTCCCTTTTAAGCACTGAAAAATGCAACCTGCTCCCCTCTAAATGCATCAAGCTCCTCCTCAGCAGCTTGATGGCGAGAACCCTAAGTCCAGAGGTGGCAGTCTTGGATCCATGTCCCTCCTCTTGATGAAGAGACTCAAGCCCTCATCCTGGGATGCCCTAACTGCAAAGATGTGTTATTCTGGGAAGGAGGGGAGGGAAGCCATCTGGTCCTCTCTTGCTAATGTGCTTCCAGACCTCATCAAACCATTGCATTACACCTGAGAGACTGTTGAGTACATATGATTCCATCCCATGTCATTAAGTTTGGGGACCTGGGTTTCAAGTGCCATTTCATGGTGAATTTGGAGATATTAATGGCATCTTTAGGTTTAGGCAACAGCTAGGCACTTTTGTTGAATCGTATCTTGGAGCTTGGATGTTTTAAATAGAAGCAGGTCAAAGGAGGTGATCCTGCCCCTCTACTCTCTCTTCTGAGACCTCACCTGGAGTATTGTGTACAGATCTGGTGTCCTCAACATAAAAAGGACATAGAACTGTTTGAAACAAGTCTAGAGGAGGGCCACGACTATGATCAGGGGACTGGAGCACCTCCCGTATGAAGACAGGCTGAGAAAGTTGGGGCTGTTCAGCCTGGAGAAGAGAAGGCTGCATGGAGACCTCATAGCAGCCTTCCAGTACCTTAAGGATGCTGGAGAGGGACTCTTCATTAGGGACTGTAGTGATAGGACAAGGGGTAATGTGTTAAAACTTAAACAGGGAAAGTTTAGATTGGATATAAGGAAGAAGTTCTTTATTGTAAGGGTGGTGAAGCACTGGAATGGGTTGCCCAGGGAAGTTGTGAATGCTCCATCCCTGGCAGTGTTCAAGGCCAGGTTGGACAGAGCCTTGGGTGGCATGGTTTAGTGTGAGGTGTCCCTGCCCATGGGAGGGGGGTTGGAACTTGATGATCTTAAGGTCCTTTCCAACCCTAACTATTCTATGATTCTATGATTCTGTATAGACATGCACTGTAGTTTGTGACTCTGCCTTCAGCACTGCAACTGCAATGTGAGGGGGTACCTGTGTGACTCAGTTACTAGTAAAATAGGGAAATACCTAAAACTGTACCCAGGAGATAAGTTCCCTAGTGAAGATGTTGGCCTAGATACCTATGGGACTTAGGAGCACTAGTTTTTTTAACCTGTAGTCTCAGAGATTGGTTCTACCTTGGGAGTTGATTCTTGGTTCCCCGTTGTCTCCCATGTGTGGACACATTTACCTGAGTCAAGCACGTGTCCCTGTCTTGTGTGTCCTTTGCAGCATGGTTTTGTTCTATAGGCTGACTCTGTTGAAATTGTTTTGTGGGATTTTTGTGTGTCTCACTCTGGCTCACATCTGTTTTATATGAGTATCAGTGTGTTTTCTGGGACTCCTGGTAAAACTATTGAGATCTGAAAGTCAGGCTTCTCTGCAAAAGGATGCACATGATTTGATTAAGATGCCTTTAAAGTCTGTGGTGTGAAGCATGTGAAGCTTAAGTTTGTCTAGTAGTAAATATTTCTTAAATGAAGTTTAATGAGGTTTCCCAGGAAGCAAGTGTCTATCTCACATTGGTGTTAGCTCAGGAGTTGTACCAGAGCTGCAGGAGGAGAAGGTAAAAAGCCCTGTCTGGCTCAGCAGCTGAGTTTGGGAGATGGTTGATATGGCAGTATTTGTAGAGGCAAGCCCTGTCTAGATGAACCACATTAGTTTGTTCCTCTGTAGACATGCCTGCCCTTGGCAGGGGGGTTGGAACTAGGTGATCTTAAGGTCCTTTCCAACCCTAACTATTCTATGATTCTGTGAATGGGGAGAGCCTGCTTTGCCTATCCACTGGGAAGTTGTGTGATTTAATGGTTCTCTGGGAAAAGAAGACAGATTTGGAACCCTAAATGTTGCTGTTGATTGTGTAAAAGAAAGCTATCAGTACCTGCATTTGTGCATCTTCTGCTCTACACCAAGCTCTAGTACATGAGCAGCCTTTTTATAATGATAAAATCTTTAATACTAATTAAAAAATAATTGTCTCTATAAAAACCCCTATCTTTCAAAACTGGGACTGTGATTTTCCACAAGTCTGAGGAAACATGTTTTCCTCTGTAGTCAATGGAAGCTATTTGGTGTCATTGCTTCAGACTGCATATTTACATGCTGAGGGCAATTAGGTAGAGAGGGGGAGTTTTTCAAAGAACAAAACTTGTTGTGATCAAGGTCCTTGGAGTCAAGATCCAGGATTTCAGATACAGTGTAGTTAATTATTTCTGTTCTCTTCCTTTGAATCTGCTTAGAAACTGGGCTTTTCCAAATGAGGCAAAAAACCTAAGCACAAACATAAAGGCTTCATAAAGAAATGTGGTCATTCCTGTCCAAGCAAGCTGGCAGGGCTGTTGTGCACAGCCTGGAAGAGCTCCCAGTGGTACACTGGTATTCCACAATACAGGGTCATTCTCCTGCAGGAAGGTGGGCCATCTGAATGTTTTAATTTCATTAAATATTTCTCTTGTTGTATGGTAGAATATAATGTCGTAACTTTTCCTGATCCTGGAGTCGTATCTCTAAAGTGGATGTTTAGCTTATAAAATACTTAATGATGGATGCTCTTTCAGTAGATCCCAGGAGAATTTTCAGTACTATACATCCATATCACTGTCAGTGCATATACTTTCATTATGTTTTACACCTCTCCCAAATGTCCATAATTTTCCCCATTTAAGGGAAAACAAGAAAGCTTCAAGTCAGAGAAAGTAGCTAGTGACACTCATTAAAACCCCATGCAGTGATAATTTCTTTCTGTGTAATGAAATTGCTCTGAGCTTTACATTGCTTTGCTTTGTCTGTGCAGATAGTTGCAGCAATAATGGCAATCACAGGAATTGTAATGATGGCATATGCAGATGGTTTCCAGGGTGATTCAATTATTGGAGTAGCATATGCTGTTGGATCAGCCTCTACATCGGCATTGTATAAGGTAGGTCATAACTGTTTATTAGTATTCTTCTGTTCTTTAACATTGGATGTTAAAAATGCATGAGTGCAAAGGGAAATCCTTTAAAATAAATGTTTTATTATATTCATCCCTCCTGCATCATTCATATTGTGACCAGGAGATATTGCAATGTCAGGAAATCTACGATGAGGGTAATTAGTTGTTAGCTGCCAAATATTCAGAATGACTTCACTTTATGAGCCTTTAATGAAATCGCCATCGCTATGCTGCGAGGAGTTTGGATAATGTTTTATTCATTTCCGGGTACCACAGTTTATCGACACTATTTTGAAGGGGATTGCCATCTGCAGCAGGTAGGAAAGCCTGACTGCAGGCAGTGCTGCTTTCCTTGAGCAGGGACGGATGGCTCATCCCTGCTCTGCAGTGCAGCTGTCTTGCATATTCTGGTCTCGTGCTGGGCTTGGAGCCCCTGTGTGTGCCTGGTGCATGTGATGCAGGGCTTTGTCCCTTGCTGGAAAGTCCTGGCTGCTCTTGAAGGTGAGGGATGAAGAAGGCAGGGGAGTGTCCAAGTTACGTTGGGCCAAACATGGCTGTATTTATTGTCAGCTTGGAGAAGGTGAAGAAGAGCAGAAGTTTAGACTTGGTTGAAGTGCAATAAGAAGTTACCTCCCAGCTTTAGACTTTGCTTGCCTTTCTAATAAATTTGTTCTGACCATTCACAAGTCACTCACTTGTAACTTTAACCAAAACTTCAGCTTTATACAGGTCTGCATCAAAAGAAGTGTGATCAGCAGATTGAAGTAGGTGATTCTGCCCCTCTTTGCTCTTTTGAGACCCTACTTAAAGCACTGTGTGCAGTTCTGGTGTCCTCAATATAAGAAGGACATGGAGCTGTTGGAGCATGTCAAGAGAAGGGCCATGAGGATGATCGGGGCTGGAACACCTCCTGCATAAAGACAGGCTGAGGAAGTTGGGGCTGTTCAGCCTGGAGAAGAGAAGGCTGTGTGGAGACCTCATAGCAGCCTTCCAGTATCTGAAGGGGGCCTAACAAGGATGCCGGAGAGGGACGCTTTGTCAGGGACTGTAGAGATAGGACAAGGGGGAAGGGGTTTAAATTTAAAAAGGGAAGTTCACCTTAGATATAAGGAAGAAGTTCTTTATTGTGGGGGTGGTGAGGTACTGGAACAGGTTGCCCAAAGAAGTGGTAAATGCTCCATCCCTGGCAGTGTTCAAGGCCAGGTTGGACAGAGCTTTGGGTGACATGGTCTCGTGTCCCTGCCCATGCAGGGGGGTTGGAACTAGATATCTTAAGGTCCTTTCCAACCCAAACGATTCTGTGATTCAAAGTGTATGAATTTAGGCTCACACAGGACAAATCCTCCCAGAGGCTTGTGCTGCCTGTGAGCCTGAAGTGAGTCCCTTGAGGGAAGGCTTTCCTCTCTCAGCAGGGTCATGCTATGGAAGTCACTGGAGTCCCCTCACAAATCCTAACAGTGCCAAGCACAGCCCAAATCCTATAACATGGTTGCATGGTGTTGTCCTTGCATTCTTAGTTGCACTGGCTCCTCATGGCATTTTGCATTAAGCTTCGTTACACAGATTCACCTGCCATAGAATCATAGAATGGTATATCCCCACATAATAAGGTGGTACCCTCCTGTGCTAAAATGCAGGAAGGGGCAGAAATCAGACCAAAGGTCCCCATTCAGAACTCCTCTGTAGGAAAGGGCCAGGTTGTGACACACTGGCCTAGTCAGGGCTGTACTGTGTCCTCGTCTCCCCAAGGGACTGAAGACTCTGTGCAAGGAGAATTTTGACAAGCATGACATCTGAAACGCTCCTCTCTTCTCTCCTTTACAGGTTTTGTTCAAAATGTTTCTTGGAAGTGCAAACTTCGGGGAAGCGGCACATTTTGTTTCTACCCTGGGCTTCTTCAATTTAATTTTCATCTCTGTTACCCCAGTCATACTGTATTTTACAAAAGTGGAGTACTGGTCCCCCTTCTCTGCTGTTCCATGGGGTTACCTCTGTGGAGTAGCTGGACTCTGGTTAGGTATGTGATAAAAAATGGACTAATTTTCCAGTTCTTCTCCCTCCCACCCTAATACAAAATCAGGCTCAGACACAAACATTTTCCCCTACCCCTTTAAGCAGCAGAGCTCTCTCATAGATTAAATCTGAGCCCTGTGCAAACAGGTACCCCTTGATAAATGATTCATGATTTTCATAAGAAGCCTTAGTATTAACAGTAAACATGAAGCAGTCGTATGAATTGTCCAGTTTTCATCTTTATACTCCTACCATAATTTCATTAGTATTTCACTGTCTCTGTCACAGTTTGATTGATTGCTATAAATCCAGTTTCAAAGGGCCATGTGTACCCTGTTGGTTCCTGGTGTGCTCTGTGGAGTGTGTGCTCTGACACAGACACCCACAGTGCTGAGGCACCTTTCTGTGGGTGCTGCAGGGCTCTGGGCAGAGCTCGCACAGCTTTGCATCAACCTGCAAAGGCTAGTGCTGTTTCATTGCCTGTGGTCTTCACCTCCCCTCTGCCCTTCCACAATGCTCCCTCTTTCAGAGCCGCAATTGCTATCCTCTAGCCTGACAGAATATAGAGTTGGATTCAGCCCAGGGACGTTTTAATTTCCAGATGTAACAACATCCTTTCCTTTAGTAAAGTCTTTATTATTTTGTAATTGAAGATGTTTTTGTCTCCCCTGCAAGTGTATTAAATGGAAACAAAAAGGATGTAATTGGCCAGTACATAGCCCATCCATGCAGCCATCCCAAGACGTGGTTGGGCTAACAACTGGCAGCACCTTGTAACTGCTCTAACCAGAATTGCAGCTGCTCTGTGAGCACCTAAGGGACAAAAGTAGGGATAATTTATCACCCAGCTATCTACCCAAGCATATAATCCCAGGCACGAGGGAAAAACCTTGCAGAGTGAGCAGGCTTCCTCCTTTTACATAGGGGACTCATCAGCAGGTCTGAGTGGGGAACTTGTGGTCCTGCCACAACGGACAGAACTAGTCCCTGGCTGCGAGAGCTGGAGGAGCACCCTAGGGAATGGTGTGAAAATCAAGTTTTTGCAATTTGTTTTTGATCTCTCAAGGAAATTGGAGTTGGCTGGGAATGCTGTCATGTAAAAACCCTCAACCCATTTGGGGTACATTTGTACTTCTGTCAGCTTTCATTCTGCCTTCAGCATGGCAGAAAGACCATAGTCTCACTCCAGTCTGCTTAGTTCACAGTTAACTTCATCAGGTAATTGTATTTAGCATCCTTTAGATCATGAATTCCTGCTGCTATCACCTTTGGCATGTGGTTGAGGTAGAGAGGGGCAGGGCCTTTCCTCAGTGAAAAGTCTTACTAAGACAAGGACAGCACAGCCTCAGTCAAAATGGGGAAGCTGGGATCACATCATTCTGGTAGGAGAAGTGATGGCTTATGGCAGCAAAACTGGGTTGTTGGTGTCTGATTGAAGCTTGGACAAAGCTGTGAAATACAGTGTGATAACGGTGGTATTACAGTTAGTGAAAGGGCATGCAGACCTCCCTCTTCCCTCATACAGAACTGCCCCTCATTTCACACTCATATATAAAAAATTAAAAATTAATCACTGTGACAACTACATCACTGTGGTGTGCATACTGAGCATGCATCATACTTGTAGGGTCAAGGTGGAGGACAAAAGCCTCAGTGTAGTGTTTTTCTCCATAAATCACATACTACTTTCTCTGTTTATCCCTAGCTTTCAATATTCTGGTTAATGTTGGTGTCGTGCTTACATACCCCATTCTGATCTCAATTGGCACAGTGCTCAGCGTCCCTGGAAATGCAGGTACAAGTACCATGGTTGTTAGTAGAAAAATAAACACACGGGCATGCAGATAGCAGAAGTTTATTGTCTACATAGTCAGAGTCTGTTGTCACAAGTTTCAAAAGCAGTTTGGTCTCCTATGGCTTCTACAGATACTCCTGGTGATGGTGGGTGTTTCAGATGGCAAAAGCATTTGGGTTTTGTCTTGCCTCTTTCTCTGGGAGTGACAGGGTACATCCATACCATGCAGGGGAGAGAGCAGGCTGATCCCCAGCCAATAGCCCAAAGCTGCTGGCTGCTGCTGAGAAATGGTGGGGCCAGTGTGCTGCTGCAGCAGCTCAGCACTGTGCTGGTGACTTGCCGTGGAGCAGCAAGGCAGTATGTATATGTGGAAGTTTACTTCAGAGTCATATCTTATTGAATAGCCTCTGTCTCCTCCTTCACCTTCTTAGCCTCGCTACTCCAGGTATTTGAGGATGTTTTCAAAGAAACGTCTATTTTTATAGGAATACAGGTCAGAGCTATTAAACAGTCAGTACCGGAAAAAGGCTGCTGAAGGGCTCAGCTGCACTATTGTTGCTGGTTGTGGAGCTGGGAGGCTGGGCACAGAGGCATCGACTCCAGCTTTCTGACCTGCATAATGCTCTCTCCCCATCCCTGGTCTGTGCAGCCCAAGGAAACGTTACACTCAGGTAACCTGCTGTAGATAGAGGGTTAACATAAAGTAGCTTCCCTCTCAGAGCAAAAATTAAAACCTCGAGGTTTAGACCAGCTCTATAAAGCTTCCTTGGAGCCTACATGAAAGTGGTTAGGCACAGAGGAGACGTGGCACTTCCAGTACTACGTGGCCAGGTCAAAGCTGTTCTTAACTCAAGGAGCTGGTCACTGTAGGGGATTGAGAGGAACATGGCCAGAGTGCAACACACAGGTTATGGACATGTGCCAGGCTGGTCTGATGCTGTAGTTCAACCTGCTGCAGTCTTGACAGCATTGTCATTTCTTCTTCACAGCTGTGGATCTGTTAAAGCACAAAATGATCTTCAGTGTAGTGAGATTGGGAGCCACCATCATCATTTGCATTGGGTTTCTGCTCATGCTGCTTCCTGAGGAATGGGATGAAATAACCCTGCGGTTCATCAACAGCTTGAAAGAGAAGAAAAGTGAGGATCATGCCGATGACATCACAGACTCCAGCGTACACACAAGAAGCAGAAGCAGAGCTAATGGTACAGTGTCTATACCACTAGGTTAGGGGTGGTGGACTTCAACTGCACGCAGATGTATATTCTGTGAATATAGCTTAAATTTCCCACTACTTGTATGCTTAAAAATGACATTTACTCTGAAGAGGGATGGACTGTAAGATAAGAGAAGTACATCTATAATAAATGTTTACATTTATACACTTATCAAGGAACGGGTGTAAATAACTACAATAAAATGTTTTGTAATAAGAAAACATTTAAGCTTGTGTCTTACTGAATTGGTGCATTTAAAATATGAATCAAGTCTACATTGTTTATCTCCTTTTGCTGGCAAAAGTAGAGCCATTCTCAAGGATACAAATCTTGGATATTTCCAACTAAATCTCAGAATTCAACATGTCAACTTAACTTTCAATAATGTGACCTTTCAGTGAGGTAGTACTTTTGGAAAGCCATTTCAAACCTCTCCTGGCTTTTTTGAGAATCCACTTCTGCAAGAGGCCAATGTTCATGTCAATATTAGGAATTATTATCAGACTAAATATTCTATGAGGTGCAAAACATTAATTTTTTGTTACGTTGTGTTATTGTGAAATGTGATGAAAGTTATGTTGCACAAAACCTGGACATGCTACAGTGCTATTAGCTCGGAGACATGGCTCTGCAAGGTTGTCTCCTCTCTGTTGAATACTGTACCTGCAGGCAGTGGGAATCCATGGCTTGGTACTGATGACTGATGTCTCAACAAATGTGACACCCAGGATATGACTGGGGGCAGTGGTATGGGCAAGCACTGCTGAGACACCTTGCTTCCCAGTCCAGTTGGAAGAGAGAATTCCATAGCTGAGCATAGGAGAACCATATATTTAAGGTGAGTTGTTGCTGATTAAAACAGTTGAAAATAGTTTTGCTAGTTTGTGGATTTGTAGGAATTCTAGCAGCCCTAGTCACACAAACTGAGTACTGAGCTGGTGCTGATGATGCCCTCCACTCCAGAAGGATGATCAGCTATGATCTAAGGGCTATGATCAGCCCTTAGGCAGCTTCACGCCTTATCCCAGCCTTTGCTAAAGAACCGACCCCACTCATGGCACTCATTGTCTGCTCTAGCCTGTGACTCTTTAGCTGCAAACATCCTATTAACCTGGACCCACCAAAGCACCCATAGCTTCTCTCCCCTGACCAGGCTCCAGCGCTAGCCCCTCATTCCTTCCAGTCATTCTGAGCTGTGCCTTGTCCCAACACCAGCTTCCTAGCAGTGTCGCTGGATTTTGGGTGCCTTTAGTAAGTAGCAGTAAAGACAAGAATAGCCTTATTTTAGCTCTTCTTCTCCCAGAAAAGCTGCACTCCCAGCTGAACAAGCTTCTCAGGAGAGACTAACCCTGTACCACCAGCATCCCAAGGAAATGTCAGTTCCTATTTTATAGAGCTCTTGGCCCAACAAGTATGTTTTCTTAACCTCCACAGTGGAAAAGCCTTTCAAAAGTCAACACAAACCAGCCAAGCTGCACAGTTCTCTGAGCAGTGCCCTAGGGCTGGACTGGTCCCAGAAGCAGAGGAAGCAGTGGTGGGGCTGAAGGGTGGTGGGCAGCCAGTGTGTCCCCATAGCCATTAGGGCTGACTACTGCTGCAAACAAATTTATGTAAGTAATAACAAAACCACTTCTTTTGGTTTACTCTCTTCTATTTGAGGGTTTTTAATGTTCCTGTCTAAACTGTTCCTTGCAACCAGTAGAGCTAACAAAATATAATTAAAAAAAAAAAAACAAACTAACAACCCCAAAACAAAACCAACCAAACTTGGGCTCTTCCATTACATGGCTACAGAATTAGGTCTGTAGAGACCAACCCAACCAATCATCCCCTTTGCACTAAACCCATCTGGAGAAGATGGGCTCAGCTGTTTGTCTACTGCTTTTGAAAGGAGTTAGACATTTAAAATATTCTATAAGAAGTGAATTATATTGAACAGGAGATATGATGTGATGAAAACAAATAGCACATGGGAGCTTGGGCATGAGCCCAAGTCAATTTTTGGACTCAATATATTCATTTACATTACTAGATAGTTTTAGTGATGTGTTTTACTGAAATTTAGCTTCTGCCAAATCGAACATATGGGAATAAGAAACATTTCCTGTTAGTATGCTTTGCTGAGTACAAATTTGGCAAGCAGCCTCATGGCCGCATCTTCAAGCCCAGGACTGGATCCTTCAAGGAACCTAATTGAGGATTCAACAGGGAACATCATGCAAAACCTATATTTCAGTCTATTTTTTTCTACTTCAGATGTTTCACGGCCAGGGTCACTATGCCAACCTGTCACTCTCAGTCAGCAAAAGCCGCTGTAGTACGCTTATGATTTATGCACATGAATAAATCTTATGAATTATGCTGCTCACGTGCCCTTTATGTGCATTTTTAATCCAGTGGTGGTTTTGGTCTGGGGTTACCTAATACCTTGTTGGGTTCTTTCTCTGTCTCCATGAAGGTAAGCCATGAACCGTTCTTTTCTTGTTGAGTTGCAGCTGCTGCTGATCGTTGTGGCCTCCTTATCTCCTGGTTTGCGCATATGGTGTACCTGCTTGCCAGCAGAGCATGGGACACTGAAGTCCCAGACCTCAAATAAACATTACCCGTCAACAACTAAAACATCAGTGTATTACCAATGTTCTTCTCATACTAAAGACAAAACAGCACTGTACTAGGAAACAATCCTAAGAAAATTAACTAACTCTATTCCAACCAAAAGCGTATCTATATGAAAGTGCATATATGAAAGTGCACAGGTTGCAGGCTAAGGCTGCAGCAAATCTAGCTACTCATACTAAGAAGGTAAAGCTAAGCAAACAGCATACTAATCTACACAATATTATAACTCTAGAAGTGACTTCTTCTATTTAAAACTTACTTAAGCTAACAACTAATATGTCTCAACACTCTCTACAAGCAAACCCTGTGCCTGCCCCTTTCCCAGGGACCAGTGATCACCCTTGATTTCCACAGGGAGAAAATATGTGTAGCTCTGACCCATGCAGTCACCTTCCACCTCACATCAGGCTTAACAGACACCATCTAACCCAAACCAAGCTTTCTGTTCAGAGCAAGCATCCCTCGTGTTGCTGCCTGCACATTGAACAGGGCTAAGGTTCTACAGAAGGCTTTCCGCTCTCCGCTGCCACTATGCTTCTCCCAGCCCCTGCTGAGGGTGGGCAGGAGGGATTTGCTTCTTCATCCTTCCCCCACCAGCAACTCCAGACAACTCTGCCACTGCAGCCACAAGTGCCCCAGATCCCCAGAGGCGAGCAGGTACCTAATCCCTCCAATACATCACTTCCAGATGCTGTCCAGGGGTGTTCATCCTGCTCAGCTATTCCCTATGGCCCCCTCCTTCACCTGCTGCCCAACCAGCAGTTTTTTCCTCCTTACTGAGTGAGGAAGGTAATTGTTTTCCCTAGAGTCCCTCAGCTCAGCCTTTCAGCTGGAGAAAACCCATTAAAACCCAAGAAATCAGACAATAAATGGAGGCTATTTTGCATGATGGTGCTGACAATCCATCAAAGATATGCAAACCAGTAATCACACCCATCAAGTGACTGATCAGATGTGTTAGTTCCGCTGCTGTGGATGTCTCTGATGAGCCCTTCTACCATCTCCAGCAATGTGAGGGCTTCATTTCAGTTGTGCTGCCTCATTTGCACCCCAAGGAAAATGGCAGTTTTGTCTGGCAGCTGCATCATCAGATTCTCCTTCACACCAGGGCCTGGCTCCCTGGAAGGAAAACAAAACATGCTGCGAATAACCCATCTCGAGCATCGCTGCCTGCACATGTCCTCTCCAGAGGGCTCGACAGCCAGGCACTGCAGACAATGTTATCTCAGCACCACTGGTACCGTCAGCCTTGGCTAATTAAGATGAACATCCCCTGTTAATACAAGCAACAAGCAGAGGAGGGAGGAACAAGCCGTATTTCTCAACTTTACAGATGTGTAATAATGTGATCCATTAGCTGTACTAGTATGTATTCCAGACAGTGAATGGTGCTGGATTATTTTCCTCTCTTCACTGCTCCATTTGTTCATGCTGTTGCTCCCTATACTTGCTGCAAGCATGATAAACAGCAAGCCTATTTGCATCATTAATGGGCATCTCTTAACAGAGATTTGCATAAAGTCCAGGTGTTATTTTGGCTAAAATCCATGCTGCCCCATTTCCATCTCCTCCTGTGCCTGTGCTTTTTGTAATTTAAAACTAAATTTTAAGGCAGAGAAATTATCTTTAAAGCAGAGAAGTTTTAAGGCAGAGGTGGTTCACTGCTGCAGTTCAATGTTAGACTAGTGCCCCGTGCCAAATCCTCCCCTTGATTCACCACTGCTCCATGTGCAAAGAATAATAAACTCTGCCTCTCAGTGGGAAAAACCCTGCCCAAGTTATGACACTGCCCTACCCTTGAGCTTTTCCTGGTATCTTCCTCACAACAAGGGTATCAGAGCACTCAGGGGTCAACATTTCCATTTTGACTGAAAAAAATCTGCTGGAAAATCCAATTCCGGTGAGATAAGTGTCACTTACAGGTTCCAGCTGAATTTGGTGGAGGATTTCAGGCAATTAATGAAATGGGAGAAAGGTGGAAAGAGCTTCCAGCCCTCCTGGTAGGGACCACATGCTGTCCCTAACAGCGATCTATGGGACCAAAGCTCCTTGCATCACCATGTTTCCACAGCACAGCACTTGGGAATCAAAACAAACCTTAAATACAGATAAAAGACTGCATTAAGTAACACCCCAGTTAAAAAAAAAAAACCACTATGAGCTTCACATCACCAGGAGGTCAGTAATAAAGGTAGTCCTGAGCTTCAGGTTGGCTTTAGGAAGCATTTCTTTACTGAGATGGTGGCCAAACATTAGAACGGGCTTCCTGAAGTGGTTGGTGCCCCAAACTTGTCAGTGTTTAAGAAGCATTTGGACAACACCCTTAATACCATGCTTTAACACGGTCAGCCCTGAACTGGTCAGACTGGACTAGATGATCATTGTGGGTCCCCTTCCAGCTGAAATAGTCTGTTCTGTTCTACCTCAACACATCCTTCCCTTCATCCAATCCATCAGTTGGTGCTAAAGCCAGGTTTAAGTGAGGGGGTTAACACAGCATCACTTTGTGCTGTAGCAAGGCTGCCCCTGCTCACTCTCAAGCTCAGCAGGTTAATGCCAGTAGCCACAATCATCACTGCACATGCAAAGCTCACCCAGCAAACCCCCCAGCATCCACACAGCACCCTGCTCTCCAGGGAGCTCTGGTAAAGGTGTGAAGGGGTAATTCTGGCTCAGCAGTTTCAAGTAATAATATTTGGAAGCCTCTCCCAGTACCACTGGGCCCTTATGGAACCCTGTTCAACCCCAAATTTGCTCTCAGTTTGCCCCAGCAACCTGCAGGAAGGGTGTCTTTTTGAAGACTGTTTTTTAGGGATTT